CACAAAGTCACTCAGGAACGTTCAGCCGAATTAATTAAGTGCCCAAATTTGTGTTAAGGTACATTAAACTTCTGCCTGATCAATTTTGTTCAGAATTAATGTAGCCTTTTATCCCGAGTTAAATTGCACAGAGGAGTTTAATAAGGGGTGACTAATGGGTTTCAAAACTGAACGTGGATTTGGCTTCCCAGAGGCCATGGGGTTAGCCTGGGAGGGATAAGCCCTTGCAGAGATCCAGGGGCAGAGAGGTTTTAGGGGAAACTTGCCAATATGTTACCAAAAAGAAGCAAACCAGTGTGACTTCTGGAATTCTCCTTTTAGCTTTCAGGTAAATCTTGAGACGGGGTGATTTTTCTATATTCCTTATCAAAGACGTCCCCTTTAATGGTGTGACCAAGCACAGCCAAGCTTTCACCTGCTTGATGAAAACTTTTAATCTCTGTTTTCTGGGGGGTTTGGAGGTGGGTTTTGCAGACTTTGCAGGAAGGTGTCTCTCTCCCTCCTTATAATAGCAGCAGCTCCTGGCTGTAGGTGCAGGCATATAAGGAGAGAAGCTGCCGTCTGGGCATGAATCACTGCCCGAACACCCAGCACCTCTTCCAAAGAAATGGGAATGGAAAGCACAGCAGAAATACAGCTGACCTGCTAGAAACGGTTTGATCATGCTGTTTAACAGGAAAAATGGTTTCACTGCAATTAGGCTTGGATTTGTAATGAGGAATTTTATGGTGCCTCTCCCAGAGGATCTAGGAGAGTAAAGAGCAGGTGAGGAGAGTGGGAGATACCTAAATAGTTTATAAAAGATTCTTAAAATCCCCATTCAGCAGAAACTAGCTAAAGCAGAGTCTGATGTGCTAGCTAAACAGCATTTGTTTAACAAGACTCTAATTTGTGCACGTGGCTGCTACAATCAATACACCTGCATTGATTCCTCCCCTTGCCTTCTTCTGACTCAGCACCAAACCTGTCCGATTGTGCAGGTATTACCCCGATAACATACCACAGCTAGAAAGTTTCTTTGTGATTAAAAAAAAAAAAAAGGAAAAGGAAAAGACACATATATCAGGTATATTTTTCTCTTCCAAGGTTGTTTTTCTCTACTTCACTAGCCTCAAACTGATGCTCACTGCAGTCCAGCTCTTCACACCACCTACTGCCTTCAGGAGCCCGTCTAACAGCCAATTCATCTTTCAGCGTGTTCACACCTGCACAATTAGCATATGGGGAAGAAATTTCCACTATTCTACAGCAAACAACAGAAGGAATTGCATTTACTTCTCTGCTTAAAAACAGAAATGGGTTGCTTTCTGAGCTGGTTATGAAACTGCCCACATCTCAGGTCAGAAAAAGTTTGTGTAACACAGTGTGCTGGGTTGCAATCAAGGCAGTTTACACAGCCATGATAGTCCTACCCTAGAGATCCAGTTTCCTTCCTCAGACAGATTCTAAAAAATAGTACTTTTTCCGCTGCAAAAGAAATAAACCTTGAGCAGCTGATGCAGCCCAGCTTCTCACTTGCTTTTTTGTGTTGAGATGCAACCTTTTGCACCATGTCCAGCTCCATGCAGCCAGCACACAGCTACGAGAAACAGCAGTCCTTGTGCACCAGCCCATCAGCTGGGCATAGAATGGGGACACTAAAAACTCTCCTCCTGATGCAGACTTGAACAGAGGTGCCCAGTGGGATTTTCCCCCTGCCATGGAGCATCCCTTTAGCCCTGTGTTCTACAAGGACAGCTCAAACTGAAAGGAATAAACTGATTTCAGAGGGATGAGCTGAATTCAGAGGGATGAATTATCACCTAGAATTGGGCACATGATTAAATGCTTTGCTGAAATGGGGCCGAAAGAATTCGTCAGGCTGGGGCTCCCGGATTAGCTGCAGACTTCGTCTCTGCCAGCACTGCGTCCAACAGAGAGCTCCTTCCCACTGCATCCCCACCCATCTGAGTCTTCGGGGAATGTTGCCATGGATTTCCACGGGAAACAAGAGAGTCCATATTGGAAGAACCCTGTTAAGGTTGCTAGGCGTAAATATTGACTTAACGGCTCTTCCGTCTTTTTTCTTTTTTAAGAACAGATTTGTTGGCCATGGCTGGAAAAATAAAATGTTGGAGGGAGCATGATTCACTCTGGCACTCACACAAACATGCAGATCAGTTGGCTGGCAGCTCCTCTGTTAGCAGAACATCGCTTTTAAAATGTGTCATTTTGTTTTGGCAGCAACAGCGGCCAAGCCCACAGACAGAGAGCATCCAAAAGATAAAATCTCCTACCTTCCATGAACTACATGTGGGGACCACCGGCCTTCCCCAGCATGTAATATTTGGTTCAACACTTCCAGTGTGTGTTTTTTTTTAAACTGAGACAGAGAAGGGCTGATGGGACACTGCAATGGTTTTGCATTAAAAGTCCAGACCAGGAACTTCCCCTCTTGGACCCACTCTTCTCCATCTGCTGACATGAGGAAGGGAAAGCAAAGGTCCTGAAGGTAAAACTTTTCATTTAAAGGCTTTTGGCTCTGTCGCAGACAACAGCTATTTCAGACAGAAGGCACTTTAGGTCATGCTGGAAGCCAGCAGCAGAAATGAGAGGTGATGCAAGGGTTTTGGTCATTAAGTTCATGCTTTCAGCACCAGGTTCTGCTTCCTACAGCGCTCCACGCACAGACTTTCAGTCCTGAATTTAAAAGATATCATTTAAATACAGCTTCAACAGACAGCAGCATCCAAACCCTCCTGCATCTTGATTCTGCCAGATGTGGGTGGTCTGGGAGGTCCAACAGGAGGACAAACCTCCTCCAGAGGGCACAAAGGGTGCAAAGGACACAGTCAGCACCACCTCTGACTGTCCCCAAAAACCTGCTCACCACACACACAGGAGCATGAGCAGCTCAGAGAGCTGGCAGAGGGTGCAGTGAGTGTATTTGTGGTTCCTTGGTAGGTACCTGTCTGACAGGCAACCTCTAAGAGGACACAAGGTGTTTGCTTGCATTTCAGCTTCACAGGCTGTCATTTGGGACTTTAATCCTATCGGCTTTCAAGCGTCCCCCAAAAGCATGATGCAAAAACAGAGGATGGGGGCAGCACACATGCAGATTTATATCTGCTTTGCATCCATCCTCTATGGCTCTGTGCACTCCTTGCAGGGAAGAGGGACAAATCCCTCCCTGCAGGCATCCCCTGCTCACATCCTCCCTAGAAGTGCCCAGTTCAGTGCATGGTTTGTTACAGCTGTGGCTCCTTGCAGCCATCCAGGGCAGCCTGGAGCCCTGGCATCCTACCCACTAATTAGGCAACACACACACTAGCCATCCCTACGCAGTATGAAGCTATCAGAAACAAAAGCAAGGCACTTAGATACCTTTGGAGCTTAGCAACAGCTGCTCAAGACCCACTCCACCCCTCTCAAATATATTTCTACTGACAGGTTTTGAAGCAGATAATTTATTGAACAGAGAAATAGGTTGATATCTCCTCTCCTCAATCCCAGGCAGAACCAGATTGTTATTTTCTAAGCATTTTCTTGGTGGTGCATACAAATTCAATACTGCATCTGCTAGCAAAGATGCCTATTTTCAGAATAAATACAATAACATGCAAAGTTTGTATTAGCAACAGCTAAGTAGATGACATCAGGAGATAAAAAAGGAAAAATCTCATGGCCCTAGCATGCACAGGACAAGAGACTGAGTAGATTTAATTGCATGGAATTGAGGAATTTTCTGCCTACTCCCTCTCGTGCCATTGCAGCACAAATAGCCCAGCCTGGGTGCTGCTTCTTCTGCTCTTATAGTAGTGTATGAGTATCAGGGGACAGACCCACAGAGACTGTTTCAAGTTGCCTGGTATTGGCCCTTATTACCTGGTCATGGAGATGGCAATGGGGTTCTCAGTACCACCAACCAGCAAGCCAACATGCTGCAGTTATCACTGGGTTTCCCTCAAACGGGTCCAGCAATGGGAAAGCAACTGCAACAAATCCTTGTAGTTTTTCAGAGCCCCACATGCTCCTCTCTGATGAAAAGGACCCCCTCCGCCTCCTGAGATCGCTGAGTTTGCCCTAGAACCTGCTCCTTTGGCTTAGGTTGCTTGAGCATGTAGTGTATCTAAGTATCCAAAGATTTAGGATCAGTTTTTGCCTTGCAGTGCTAAGACCATGAGCCACCAACGTCTACATGACCAAGAGCTGGAGCAAAATGCCCCACTAGGTACAGCAGAGCAGCAGGAATTTGATTGCCCCAGTCCAATGTAGACTTCTATATAACTGTGCTTCTTTGAATTAAATGAGAAGAAAAGCTGCTTTTAGAAATCTAAAAAGGGTCATATAGACCAGTCCTAAAGTTACCGATCTCCTCCCACTAACTAGAAAGAGAGGCAAGGGTGACAAGTTCAGATCCAAGTGTCTCAAGCCAGGTGAGATGAATCCTGCCTTCAGGGCACGAGGTAAGGAAGAGGTACGGATCAAGCCTCTAATGACTGTTCTGAACTCACCACACTCCTGAGCTGCTCGTTTATGTCTGATTTACGTCAGGAAAAACTTGCCCTCCGTGGACAACTCTGATAGAGCAGAGGTGACAGAGCTACTACAGGCTACCACTGTCACCTTGAGCAATCTGTAGCATGCCTAATTGGTTTTACAACAATCAGTGTATCAACTGCTTTAAGCACCTGGAAATAACAACCCCACTCTTGCTCTCCTCAAAGTCGACAACCCAATTGCTGACATTATTAGTGGGTAAGATTTTTGCAGGGCATCACTGCTTTTACTCCATCCTAACTCCTCTTCTTTGCTATTTCACAGTCATCCGGCTGGATTAATATAAAAGAAAACCAGAGCATTTCTCAAAACATTTTCAGCATCATTTAAACTCAGCTGATCTTGTCTGCTGGTGACGGGCTGAACAACCCGTCAGTCACACTTGTCAGTCACCGCTCTTCTGCCTGAAACGCGGGAGCCTAATCGAAGCAAAGAAGCAGAAACGAAGGTCTGATACTTACTTTCTCAAGACTGCAATTTCATTCTCTATGCTGCTTTCCTTCCCCTTCAGTGCCTTCTTGGGAATGCACTTGACTGCAAATAGTTTCCCACTAGCTCTCTCTTCAGCCAAAACAACTTCAGAAAATGCGCCCCTGAAGGAAGAAAAGAAAAGCAGAGATTTTAAGTGGTGTCATTTCTTCGCAAGCTGTTATCTGAAATACTGCAATTGAATCTATTCTTCTGGCGGATTTTGATAGCTGCTCTCGTTAATCACAGCCACGGCATTATGAGAATCTTTCACTGTTTTTACAGATATATAAAGGCATTCTGGCAAAATATTAAAGGCTCACCCAACCCAACAATATTAATAAAGAACCGCAGTCCAGCAGAAGTTTGAGCAAAGGTCGAAAATCAGAAAGTGCCATTTCCATACACAGGGGCAAGGACCGCAGCCAAGCTGCTGATTTGATGTATGATGAATGATGTACTTTTCCCTTCTCTGAAGTTTTTTGGAGGTTTAATTCACACAGCAGCACAAAGTCCCTGGGAGCAAATGACCCATGGGTGCCAAACGCGCTCTCGGTTCCTCGGTGACCACAAGAGGTCAGGGCCTCCGCTCTGGTCCTCCCTGAGCATCTCTTCACCCTTTGCTCAACCCTGACTCAGACGGAGAAGCAGCGTCAGAGTTCCTCTCTGTACACAGAGTTATTCCACAAAACAAACTGCCCTGTGTAATCGCTAAAGCCAAACAATCGGATTAAGTCACAAGCCCAAATGTCTGCCTTAATAGCAGCTTCCCCGCAGTTACCCCAGAGAGGATTACACAAATAAAGGATGCAGAAACATCATCACAGCAGCCAGTCACTAATTGCCAGGAGTGGGCAGCGCCTCTCCTTCATTGGGTTATTCTGTAACAGTATTATTTCTTGCACTCTCATGTCTTCCTCCAAAGCATCCTCCAAAGAGGCCAGGCAGATGTGACAGGCAGGACCCTTATGTGCTTTTGCTGCTGCTTTCTGAGAATTTCTGAGATTTGGGCATCCTTCAGAGCCCTTTGGCATCTGGGTGGACTTTCACTCTGGCACACTGGGGCTGCTCTGATATTCCTGGTTTATCAGGTTTAGCTCATTACTGGTTTAGCGGTGAGGTACTGGGCATGGCAGAGCACCACCAACCTGCTGAGGAACAGCAAATCCCTGCTCCTGTTCACCAAAACCTCCTCCCAAAGCAGCTGCCTTGCCCAAGAGACACCAGAGCCAAGCACCACCCGAAACATAGCACTACCCAAATCCCAACTCAAAGTCCAAGAGCCAAAGGATCACATTTTATATATACAACACTAAAAGAGACAGGACTCCAGGTTATCCATCACTATGTTATTCTGTTCTTCTACATAGCTCTCTCTGAAAAGAGGCTGAGCAAACCCAACTGCACTCTAACCCACTCCTAAAACGTTAATATTTGATCACAGCCTCATTTGGCTCCCACAAACTTTCCCTGACTTTTGTTGCCCACAGTCACTGCTTATCTAGATGTTTGTGGACCAACAGAAATGTTTCCTCTCCTGTCTCTCCCTTTCTAAGTTAGGCTCGACGACACGACCAAGCACCCCTGACCTCAGCACCAGTTCCTGAGTTGCGAAAGGACCGAATGAATCACTGAGCCAAGGGGTAAGCGAAGCAGGCAGACAGAAAGGGATGCTGGATAGAAAGTGCCTGTTTACACAGAAACATTTTGGTCATTAGCAGCAAAACGGAAATGAGAGGGGAAGTTTAGGAAGGGATTAAAAGAGACTTTTGCAAACTGGTGGTTTGTGTCCATGTGGCAGTGACCCTCTGAACAAAGAATGCTTTGCCTCACGTGTTTGGCAAAAAGGACCCCAAAAATGTCCAGGCTCATTTATGCCGCGCTAAGTACAGGAACAGCTTTGTTTTCTGCATTGTGTATAAACTGCCACGGCATGTTGGAGCATCCCAGACTCCAGTTCAGAGTCCATGCAATCAGTCCCAATGGCTGGAGCAATAAAAAAGAAAAGCGAGCCACACAACGTATTTTTGCAGACCTACTCTTTGCTTTCCTGTCAACAGTCCTAATTATTCGGTTCACCAAATGGTGCTTTCTTTCTAACCCTCATGCTGGGAACAGCCAGACTGGAATTGTAATAAAATCCCTTTACTGGGAAATCCTGAGACCCCTCAGTGCTTATCGGCTTTGGCTGAAGACTCGGATGCTCAGAAACTCACAGGGCAGCTCCCAGCTATAATTCATGAATGCCTTAAAGTCCTATCTACTTAAGCTTTCACCACTTCACTCTAGCTGTGTCTTGAATAATCTTTTTGGCTGTAGTTAAATGCCATTAGAAGCAGCACATCCATACTGGTCATTTACTGCTCACACAGCTCTCTGAGTGTTTACAATACTGCAAAGCACAGATCTCCCGTTCTGATCGGGATTTCATTGCTCTTCTAAGACGCCAAAATCAATGAAATCCCTTTATATCCTTCTATATAATAAACCGAGCTTGGAGTAATGCCTCTATTTCAGCTGGGTTCACCATTTTACTGGATTTCTTTCTCCACATACCAGGACAGCCATGGGGTTGGAGCAGCTTTTGTGTATATAAATGCATTTTTACGGGGAACTCTGATATACGCCAGTAAAAAACAATTCCATATCTTCTTAGCAGCCTTTCTCGTTAAAGCAAGAAATGAGCTGACCCTCACTTAAAGCATTCACGTAAATGCCAGCCCTTGGCACTGATGGTCTGCACGCTCCTGCTGCACTACACGTGCTCCTGCTACACAGCTCCTGTGGTCACAGAACAAGGAAAAAAGAAGCACAGAGGCAGCAGACAAAAGAAAGAGAAGTGCTGGAAGGAAAGAGAAGTGTGCTGGAAGAAATGCAGATAGGGATCAGAGAGTTAAATACAGCTGGGGAGGAAAGAAAGGTATAAGACAAAAAAAAAAGAAAAAAAGAAAAAAAAAGGAAGTATTAACAGAAAAATATCACCAAGCAATAGGCAGCATAGACACTCCTGCAGTGTGCTGGAGTCAAGGGAGAGCCAGAAATAATAGTATATAGATGGACAAGTAATTATCTTAATTTCAAATACACAGATGAATTCACCCACACTCAATAATGCAATCCAGCCCCCACTAAATCTTTCTTGACTTATACATGACTAGGTAAAAAACAGAGAGAAAGTCAGAAATACAAAGCTGCTTGTTTTCTTGCTAACAGTAAAATATCCTACAGCAAATTCACCATTTCCTCAAAAAAAGAAAATCCCCAGAACACCAGCCTAGCAGGCTTACTAAAGGAGATATTTTTCCCCCCAAAGAATTAACGTGCCCTTTAAAATCAAGACATAAATGAAAGCAACAGTTTATCTCTAAGAATTTATTGCATTTTTTTTAATTGAGGGTTAAAAGGTAATTGTGTCCAAAGTTCTCTCAATGTGTTTGGGTTTAGAAAATGGTGCATTGTTCACCACTGAAATGACAAGACTTCTTGCAAAAAGGATGTGGCTTCTATTAAGCATCATCAAGTGATGTTAAAACAGCACTGAGACAGAAAGAGATTCGGAAGCCACTTGGTGAATCTTGTATTTTGAATTATGTGTTTTTATCTGAAATTTCATGCATGGAAAAACACAATTTCTGGGAAGGATACCAGCAAATAATGGTAATTTTTTTTTTTAATTTTTTTTTTTTAATTCTGTGAAATCTTGAGGAACGTGTTTACTCTGAGAATTACCAAGATATTACCCAGAAAATATCTGGGGGTCTTTTATTCTCACAGCCCTCCACAACACACACTCTCCCCCAAAAAATTGGTCCAAAAATTATTTTCACACTCCAACACAGATTTTTTAAAAAGCACAGAGAAGAGGTTAATTAAATAAAAGTCACCATTTCAAAGGTATCTGCAATGGATGGGATGTCCCACTCCCCACAGCTGGGAAATAGCTAACAGCAACCTTTCTACTGTGCCTGGGAATGCAGCCTTTGCCTCTCTGAATTGGGGGCTACAAACCCCCCGGGGAGCTTTGCAGGTCCTTCCTGGAGGTCAGAGTAAATGAATAGGAAAAGCATCACAGTTTTGAGGAACTAGGACAGCAGTGGAAATGGGTAAGCAAGAAACTTCTGCAAAATTAAACCACCTAGCTAGCTGCTGAAATAAGTGTGTGGCAACAGAACCTACTTCTGAAAGTTATGACCACATTATCATTTACCCTAGAGGATCAGCTCTCGTTAAACTTCTAATTAAAGTGTGGAATAATTTTGTGATCTAGATCATTTTCATATGAATTAGGAACAGTGCGAAAGAAAAAAAGTTAAATGACTGCACAAGTGACATTGAGATGATGGCAAACTCTGGAAGGTGGCTGAGACCTGCTGACTCCTCACCCCTTTGCATATGTCAGCATCCTATGAGATGTCAATATTTTATAGTTTTAATTTCTTTCAATTATTTCTTATTTGGTTATTTTCTTTAATTCAGATTTTCAGATTAGGATTTCAAGATTATCATTGGAATATGAATCGCATTCATATCCAAACAGAATGGACTTTCCATTAGATAACAAAGGTTGCAAGGCTAGGTTATCCTGCAGATCAAAGTAAAATAAATGCCAAATAACTTTTCCTCATCTGTTTGAACTATAATTTAAGGTGAATGCTTAATTTCTGAAATAAAATAGATATACAACATATAATGTGACAATAAATCTGTTCTTATTCTTAAAAAAAAAAATGTTGTTACAAAAGCACTGACAAAATGAAGACGAAGAGTAGATGGAGGGAGAAAACTTAATTTTTCCATTTGCAGAGACCTCCACGTTGAGAGTTTTCCACTACATTAGCAGGTGCTCTGTCACACTAAATCAACAGACATAGTCAGGAAACAGATTTCACATCTTCAGGCTGTGTGGAGCTAATGATCTTAATTATGGTACAGTCGGCCTTCTGTGTGTACTTTGCCCCAGCCAAACCATGGAAAAAATTAGTGAACACTCATGGTTTGAGAAATCTACCACATCCACCGTGAAGATCACCCCAAGATGGGAGACCAACAGAATGGGTGAGACCAACCAAACCCAAGAAGCCATTTCCGTAGCATGGCTTTGGTAACCGCAGATATATTCTGAAAA